TTTGCTGAATTTAAAATTGCAGTTATATATATATATATATATATATACATGTATATATTGCATATATATATATATATATATATATATATATATATATGCAATATGTTACAAAGGGACAGAATTTGCATGAATTTCTTTTTCAAATAAAATAAATAAAACCCGAAAACCCCAAACGGTCAGGTTCACCGCTGAGGCTGAGGCACGAAATACGGATATCGAGGTTTAATTTAGCGAAAGTAAATAATTGTATTTATATATCGCACATGCGTCGGTCTGGGCGGGCGCAAACCGCGAGAGCCGACGAACTAAAAATACATAAACGTTACAACTAAACTCGAATCTTAATTAATCAATGCTTATACAATAAGATCTCACAGCAGAAACGAAATTTATATCGTTTTGATACAAAAATATATCTCTCTAATACTACTTACACCACACTAATGCGGCTCGCGCGTGACTTAAACGGTAAAAAGTAGAAAATATCGTGCACGCTGCTGTATACGCGTGTCGCGAAACCGTGCGGGAACTGCGCGGGTCCGCGATTATTCCTATGCCTTTCACACTTAAGAGCAGTCTATTAAACGAACGCTCTCGCCAAGAAGGTAGCGAGCGTACGAAAATCCTCCAGGGATAAATAAAAGAAAAAAAGGAGAGACAGAAACAAGGGGGCGGAGGAGAGAGAAAACAAACGAGTATAAAATTAAGAAATATTAAATATCTCTGCGCGTTAAAAAACTAATAAACGTCGTTTAACGTGTTATTTGTACATTTTGTGCTAAATTCGACGGCGTGTCTCGCTTTTTTTCTTAATAATGCCGGCGTACCGGTGCGAACAAAAATTAAAATATAAATTAATAATAAAGGAAATGAAATAAAAAAAAAAGAAAAGATCGCAATACCGTAACAAATAAAACACTCGTCTCTTGATCACGCATAACAAACATCGCCCGTTGGACGAATTGCAAAACCTTATTCTAATACGTCTACCCTATAAAATTATCGCAAAAAGAAAAAGGAGAAACATACAGCACGCTTTTACCGCAGAGTCCGAGCTAAACGCGAGCTGTATTCGCGACACGCTAAATCTACGTTTGTCACTCGCGTTACTTGTAACAATTTTACTTGTTCGTCATCCGCGACCGTTATGGCAACAAAAAAAAAAGAAAAGAATCCACGATCACCCGTTCGGCCGAGGCTGGTAAAACGGGCGACAGTCTGACGGGGCGCGGAGACGGCGGCGAAAAGTACTCCCGGCTTTATGCGGCGCGTAAAAGAGAGGTCGAAATGTGTCTCTCGGCGGGCATTGTTGATGCCCCGTAAATCGGTATCTCAATGGTCGTGTATTTTGTGGACGGCGCGTAACGAGACATACGCAATTTTACTTCGCATATAGACGGTTTGAATATAAATTCAACAGCGTAGGCATTTTCTCTCGACCTATTTCTTTCTTGGCGAGAATTCCCGTTCCTCCACAGATCATCTTCAACGTCACGTTGTTGGTTCGACCGCTACAAACGTCTTTGGCAACCTCAAGAGTGGAGTCCGTAATATTCCTACATCCGGAGAGATCCAACAATTGTAATTCAGGCGAGGATCGGATGAGCGTTGTCATGGCCCGATCGCTAAATAGACATCTTCGGCACTCAAATTCTTTTAAGCCACGCACGTTTTTCAAGCCATCGTCGGTAAGTAGACGCGTATAACTGACGACTAATTTTTCGAGTCTTACCAACGTAGCGATAGCCGTTAATCCGACATCAGTCACGTAGTAGCAACCTGTTGGATATAAAAGAATAATTTTAAAATATGATTAAAAAAGTGGCAAATATACATATATATATACACACACACACACAATTGTAATTTACCCGAAATGTCTACGTTGGTAAGCTGCTGACAATTTTGTACTAAATCGATGAGGAAATGGTCCGATACCTTAGGATTGTGCGTGATTTTTAAAACTTGCAGATCGACAAGGTGAATTACATGCGACATATCCGTCGTTTGTGCGAAAGGAAAGTATCCGTTGAGCTCCAATGTTGTCAGACTTTTGCAATGCTGACCGACAACTTGAAACGCGCCTTCAGCTATACGGTGACATTTCCTTATCGCTAGATGTTTCAAATTTTCGAGCTTCTTCAGTGCCTGTAACAGACGTGACAATATCGGATGTATCACCGATCGAAAAGTGAAAAGTAAACAACAATCTATATTTACCGTTAAAAGGTGAGTGTCCCCAAGACAGTAGCAACGGTCTAATATAATTGTACGCATAGTTTGCGCTGGCAAGCGCGATAAGCATTTGCCCGAAATGCAATTTGTTGTGCCCCTTTTTGGGTACACTAAGGTTCGGTCATTCCAAGGAGGAGGCGGGATGGGTGACTGATAGAACACTCTTCGATAAACGGCACTTCGAATAAAGAATACTTTAATTGAATCTGCTTTACAGTTATTGCGTACAAGAATGCCCGTTACTGATCTCCTCCCGAACTCCGATTGCCCTCGCGTCTCCGGTTGTCGCTTCCTTTTCAATCCTCGCGCGTTTAGTTGCTCTTGAGACGTAGTCCCAAGTGTACTTTTTGTTTGCGCTAATTGTAAAATGAGGTGCCGTCTGTGTAACCGTTTTTTTGTCCTGACGACGTGCGACGCATGTTGGCGCACGTATTGGCTCCGCGCTGCTCGTGCGGGTGCCGTAAGTGAGGGTGCCGCGCTTAGTGCGCGGATGGCAGCGAATTTGGGTTCGGGGCCGACGTCACCCCCTCCCTCCTACGCAGAAGCGTTGCTAACGCCCCCGGATACCTGGGTGCATCTTCTCCACCCCCTGGAGGTCACCTTGGATGTGGCCACCGGACGTCGTGTGGTGCGACGTGTTTGATGTTCGGTAAGTACTTATTATCTTATTTTCGTTAGTTTTTATTATCGCCTATTTTTTATTGCCTACTGTTTGAAGTTGGAAGAGTAGAGAGAGAGAGAGAGATTGTTATTCTTTTTTGCGTCGATTGTAATACAATAGGTTGCCGCGCATTCCACGCAGTTCTCGGAAAAAGCGCGCGAGCGGCGCCGACAACGTTGCGTCCCAGGCGGCGAAGAGCGTGTTTACCGCGCATGCTCAAGCATGTTAGGAGGGGCGCGCAGCCCGGCCGAGCGAGCATTCGTTTCCTAGATTGCGTGCACGATGCTTCGTGCTCTGTTGCGAAAGATCGAGATTATTGCGTCATATTGTTGGTGTCGCGTATCTCAGTTTTTGAATTGTCTATCCGTGTTTCATATTGTGATTAATTATACTCAATATTTATTCAACGAAATATACTTGACACTGCGAACATTACCGAGAGGAATCCAGGGATATCCGTCCCGGCGAGCCACGCCGGCACGTGGACCGAAGGAAGGCAGCCATTTGCTACAACGTTCGAGAGAACCGTTGCGACAGGAATTACGAGCCCTTTCGAAGTCTGAAGGAAGGAAGCCATTTTCAGTAACATTCGAGACACCGTCTTTTTGATTTGATCATTACCATTTCCAACAAG